CACCTTGAGTTGTGGCAGGACCTGAAACACCAGTGGAAGACATGCCGCACCTGGCTCTGCTTGGACCACTACAATCGTACGGTTACCAACGCTATGACCTGGGACCAAAGCCAACATCGTGCAATCTTGGAGTATGAGCGGGACATCAATTTGGACCAGCAAGTGGAGAAGGATGATAATGAGTGGACTGAGAAGCTCCTTGCAGCCGAGCAGGCTTCTCCAGAATTTGAGGGCACCATCACAATTGACCTGTTGATGCCAGCTGCAAAGGATATGGATGACAGGGCTACAGTAGGAATCGCAGCAAATATGGCAGCACTATTGGAGAACATGAAAGCGGATGTCAACGACCTTTGCTCAGAATTAGAGACTGCGGCAGAAAAACTGGCTCAAGCTAAGGATGCGGAGGCTGCCAAGGATGCTCTTATCCTTGAATTGGAGGCCAAAATGGCAGAACAAGCATCGGTCACAGGCAAGCACCGTTCGTCAAGCCCCTCCTCCAGCAAGGCAACATCATCGGCTGACAGTGGGGGTGGCCCCCCCGGCGGGGTGGTCCCTAACCACCAACGGTCCTGTCACGCAAGGTTGCGGCGTTTGACGGAAGGCCGAGGTCAAAATCTACGCAACCAACACACATCCAGCCAGGTGGCCCACTCCTTGCTGGATGCTTATTTAAACTCTCTCCCTCCCGGTAACCTACTTCGGCGATGACTCACGTCAGAAGTCTCCTCGCGTTACCCGGGTCCTTTTCCAAAATGTTCAGGGTCTTCCATTTCCTATGACACATGAGAAACAGAAAGGGCTCTTCAAGTGTTGGACGGATGAGAGAGTGGGTATTGTATTGCTGGCTGAAGTCGACCTTCAATGGTCAGCAGTGCCCAGAGGACACAAGTGGTTTGATCGGGTCAAGTCCTGCACTAACCAGGGACATTTCTCTTCAGTATCTTACTACAAACACCAGGAGTTTCCAACTCCCTCGGCGCATCAATGGGGCGGATGTTCTGCTACATTACTCCACAAGGTCGCGCGTCGTGCAAAGTCAGGCGGCAAAGGTGAGACAGGGCTAGGCAGGTTATCTTGGATCAAGATCCGGGGCAGGGACATCCGACAACAGGAGTCTCAGACTGATGGGCCCCCGGCTGGTCCTTTAGATCTTGTGGTGGTCTCTGCATACCGTCCAAACAAGGAAGGTACCAATGCTGGTAGTGTTTGGAACTACCAACGGAACTACTGTTTGAGCAAGGGGTGACAATGGATCCCCGTGACAAGCTCACACTGGATTTGGTGGACCTGATCAAACAATGGAAAGCGCAAGGGTGTGAGATTCTCCTTGGGTTAGATGCAAACGAAGATGTCTCCTACAACTCTCCCTCTTCCTTCCGCCAAGAGATGCGGTCAGAAGGTCTTACTGAGGCCATCTTACCCCAACATCAGGGCCCTTACCCAGTGACAACCCAAAGTCGGACGACGGATACTCCCATTGATGGTATATTTGTGACCGACGGCGTCCATGTAACGGCAGGTGGATACTTGGACTTTCAGCAGTATTTTAAGTCGGGCCACAGGGGACTCTGGATTGACATTGACCTGGAAG